GGTCCGCGAGGCCACGAGGTCCCGCAGGCGCACCTCGGCGTCCTCGACGGTGCTCGTCAGCCGTTTTAGCTCCATCGTGCCAATGCAAAATACCGTTTTTTGCTTCAAATATACCGTATGTTCTTCAAAAACGGAAAACTCAACAGCGCCAGGCCTCAACCACCACGGCCTTGAACGACCAAGATGAACAAATCCGCAAGCCCAATCTGTACACGTACTGTGCACCATGCATCGAGTCGATTGCAGTTAAAAAAGGGGCGGCCTCTTCTGCTGGATCACCCTTGTTGGCGGCGCACGACGGGCGTCGCATCAATCTGTTGCACACTGGCGAGCGCGCCTTGAATCTTGAGGCGGTACTCAAAGTCCCTAGTATTACCCACCATATCCATCAACATCGTCTTCACGAGCACAGGAGGACGTACGACGCCAGCGGGTTGCGCTCCAGGTAGAGCGTCTCGAGCTTGGTGTTGGCGGCCAAGTGCTGGATGTCGTCAAAGGAGCTGATCTCGTTGTCGTTGAGCCAGAGGTCTTCGAGGGCCACGTTCGCACCCATACTCTGCGGGATCGTCTTGATGCGGTTGGCGCCCACGTCGAGGATCGTGAGCTTGGTCTACACAAAGTGGTTGTGGTCTCTGTGACGTCCTAGTCTCCGGGCGAAATCGCGTACGAGGTGGTCGAGATTGACGAGCGCCTCGATCCCATTGTGGCTCAAATAGAGCTCTTCGAGGGCGACGTTGGCGCTCAAGTTGTCGATCGCAAGCAGCCGGTTGCTCTGGATGCTCATGACGCGGAGCTTGGCGAGGGCGCCGAGGCCCTAATAGCGCCTCGACTACAGCAATAGACGCACCAGCGATCCATTTACCTGAATCGCCGTAATCTTGTTTTTCCCGAGCCAGAGCTGCTCGAGGTTCTCGAGGTGGTCGAGGCCTTCAATGGTGCGAATGCGGTTTGCCCCGAGGTCGAGCTTGACGAGCGTGCGCAGGTTGCCAATACCAGTGATGTGCGTGAGCTTGTTGTTGGCAACATAGAGCTCCTCGAGCTGCGTCAAGTGGCTCAGATCGGGAATGGATCGGATCTCGTTGAACGAGAGGTCGAGCACTAGGACTTGTTAGCATCCAATGTGGGTCGATGGGTCGCACCGCGCAACTTGACGAGCTTCTCGAGGCCCACCATCTTCTTAATCTGGTTGTCGTACAGCTCGAGATGCGTGAGGTTTACGAGCGACTCGATGCCCGTCATCTTGTAGAGCAAGTTGGAGCGCACGTGCAGCTCCTGCGACCGCATGAGTCGACAAACGATATATAGACGATGCTCGTACGCGCAGCTGGACCATGGCCTCGAGGCCGTCGAGCACACGCGCCTTGAGCCCGGCGGTGCCCACGTGGTAGATTTCCTAGCAGCCATACCATGAGCATGGCCAGCGCGGCAATGGCAGCGCACCTCGTCGTCGGGCCGGAACTCGACGCACTCTGTCAGCGGCAGCTCCTTTGTCTCGCTCTCATCATGGGTCTCGACCGGCTTGGGGATCGTCTCTTCCACGACGCGGGCCACGCGCGGGGCAGGCGGCGTGACAGCCAACGCGCTATCATCCGGCGTCGAGCTCATGGCAACAATCGAACTTATCAAATGATCTCGAACTTATCGTGTCCGAGTCGTTGGCCATACAAACCGCAAGTGCAATGGATACGACGCCGCCTTTCACCCCACCACCAAGAGTAGCAGCAGCGTAGGTGCAGGTATCCAGGCGCAGTTCATCTAGTATCATAGGGCATTGCGGCATTGCGTCGGTCGGCAGCACGGACGAGCCACCCAGCAGCACGCTGCGAGGACCCCCACCCCGGCCTGTCCCCCACCCCTAGTCGATTTTGAGCTCGGAGGAGCCACCTGCGCCATGATAGTACCACTGCCACGGTGGTACTAGCATACGTGCACTACTCATATGTCCTGCTGTACACAGAAGTCGTGCTCATGGCGTTGCATATATCCGATCCAAGTCCAATCTTCATATGTAGAGCATGTGACCTCGGGCGTACCACTCGACGGTGTCGACAAGCGCGGGGTCCCGGATGGTCTCGGTTGCGATCTGCAGGAACCGGAGCTTTGTGAGCGAGTACGTGATCTCGTGCACGCTCTCGAGCCGGTCGATCTCGGCTTCGAAGGCATCGACAGCACTTGTTGGTGTCATGGCGCGGCCACAGAGCAGTCGGAGGAGGTCCAAGAGCTGCAAGTACGGGATCTTCTCCTAGGTTCAACATCGCATCACGTTTTCGATCCTTGGAACAAGCGGACCTTGTCATCGTAGCTCGCAACGTGATCAAAGAACCGGCGCGCCGTCTCCATGGAAAGTGACGCGCTCTTGTCATTCCCTGCGTTGGTTTGTGATGGCGTCTCACTGCCGGTTTGTTTGGCCAATGGTTCAATGACCACTTGGGCGGCGACGAAGCGGTCCGTTTTCTTGCGCGTCGACGCTTCAATGCTCTGTGCTGACTTGCCCCGCACCGACGCTTGGAGGTACCGCTTCGTGCCGTCAAAGCGCGGGTTGGTCGTCGGGTTGGGCACGCGCAGGGCGTCTTTCAGCTCCAACAGCTGGCGCACGCACGAACGCGAGACCCGGCGGGACTGCTGACGCACCGACTTGGCGAGCGGCGCGACGCGGACTTGAACTTTTTGAGAAAACGCGACCAGGTCCTGGACCTCTTGGGTCGCCAAGAGCTGCGTTTTCTTGGCGGCGATCGTTGTCGACACGAGCTCCGTCATGGTCGCTTTCGTTTCGGCCATGTACTGGAGGGGCACGGTGACCAAGGCGTGCGCGAGCTTCTCCGCGAGGCTT